CTACATTGTGAAATATAACTTCAATGATGCTGAGATATTTGCAAAACTCCGGACCGCAGGTGTATGAGGTGGCGAACGAACGCCCTATTGGCCCTTTCGGGGAGTAGCGCGTTCACCACCACACCACGCGGGTCCTTCGTTTCGCCTGTCTCTCAGCTAGTTCTATCGATCTTTTGCCATCAGCAATCACCCGTCAGCGGGATTGATCTGGAGGGCCCAAATCGGCAACGAACCCAGTCATCGATAGAACTAGCTGAGAGACAGGTGAAACGAAGGACCCGCGTGGTGTGGTGGTGAACGCGCTACTCCCCGAAAGGGCCAATAGGGCGTTCGTTCGCCACCTCATACACCTGCGGTCCGGAGTTTTGCAAATATCTCAGCATCATTGAAGTTATATTTCACAATGTACACTGCCGTTAAAAAGAGTAGGCAGTAAATAATAAGTTAAAATTCGCACTACATTTCTGTGACGTTCTCACTACCTCTCTGGTACAGATATTTCTCGTGTTGAAGCCGTCATTGTCGCTTAAAGAAAAACAATGATCGACGATTTTCTTCTTTACATTTTATACGACCCACCATCGCGTCTGCTGTTCGGATCCTATCACTTCTTGCATTCTATTTGCTTTCATCACTATCATTCTCCACAGTGGTCTTCAAACATTTCGTGTGTTGTTCCACTTGCTGCTTGAATATTTCTTATTCTTTGCGGACGTCATAGAATGCTGATTGAGTCAATTCTCCTTACAATCTTATAAATAGCCGGAATAAGACGTACTCGCGTCGACTGAAGGAGAGCGTTGGGGCGCAGGAATCGAACTAGTGCATTTTGCTTCCTGATCGATGGTATCACTATCCACTGCGTCAGCCCCTCCATTCAACCTATTACTTTACGCAAACCTGTACAGAAACTTATTTACTGGACGTAAGTAGCGGAGTGGTTGACAAAGCCCTGCGACATAAACTTGATCGTTGCTTTGAACCCGCCCCTTCAAGGCTGGTCTTCTGCAACGTAACTCTCATTAAAAAAAACTTTTATGACAAAAAAGGCTAGCAGGTGACAGCACGGCTGAGGGCAGCAAGGCTGATTACAGCACGTCAGAATGTATCGGGTGTTCTCATGTGCGATGCTTATTGCTCATAGAGGACAAAAACCTTTCGGCGTTTATTAATCCCTGAGGGATGCGCCATACATTCGACTTCATTAAGCATGTTTGGAGGTGATTGAGTGTATATTTGACCTTTACAATAACTTGCGGTGGCTTACTGATGTATCGAGCCAGTGCTGCTATCCTCCCAGATAAGTGTGGTACCAATTTGCCGACCCCGGAGGCATGGAAGGCATGATGGGCCTGGGACGCGGGGATCGATCCCATGTGTATTACAGGGCACCTTGGATTGTGGTTGTTTCACACGTAATATCCTGCCATGAAAAATTATAACACGCAGTATATAAAAAGTTGACCTTGTGATTTCGACTACAGCCCCAGTTTAACTGGATTCGTTACCGATTTGGGCTTTCTAGATCAATCCCGATGACGAGTTACTGCTGATGGCTCTAATCGATAGAACTAGCTGAGAGACAGGTGAAACGAATGATCCGCATGGTGTGGTGTGTTAGCCCCTAGAAATGGTAACACTGCGTTTGTTCCCCACAGCAGTCACCTGAGGTCCGGAGTTTTGCAAATATCTCAGCATAATTGTGGTTGTTTCACGCGTAATACCCGCCATGAAGAATTGTATTAGGGATCAAATAAAAAGTTAACATTGTGGCTACTAAGGTGAATTTATAAAGCGCTGAGCTTCCGAGATAATCTAAAAATCGAGGAATTATTATCAGTTATCGAAACACCACGCGAAGCTCCCTCATATGAGGAATCTCGGCCCGGCTAGCCGCGAGGCTACGTGGCGCGTCCCCAGGTGGCGGATAGGGTGTTAATCGCGGAACAAAGGCGACCGTCTGTTTCCGTGAAACGCAGGTGGATCCAGGGAAGGGACTCCCTGTTTCTGCTGCGCCGATTTGGTATTCTGCTGTTTGTATTTACGAGACGTATTAATGCACACGTGTGTGGGTGCGTTCTAGTTTATGCGGATTGTATTCTACGAGTCAATTCGGCCAAAAGCGTGCAATCAAGTGACCTGGAAATATATGGGAGGCGGTTAAGAGTGGCCTCCAACAAGTAAGCTTCATGTCCACTCTAGGAGAGACTGGCAACCTACCCGTGAGTATAGTGAGCCCTCACGTTCACAGCCCAGCAAGCGATATGTGGGTATCAAAATGTTAAACACAGTAAAAGAAACGGGCCTCATTCCACTAACCCCGAAAGAGCCCCCAATTCGGCAGCGTTGGGCAGGACGAGTATGGAGAGGCTGCTATAATCTCAGGGCCAACGCAAGCTGCCTGGATTGCAAACAACTAAGGTGACGATCTGTACCTACATCGCACGTACACTTGCATCTGAGCCCTCGATAGAAGACTTGCTCATGCAAGCAAGAAGGATAAAGTGCGACATCATCGGCCTGGACGAGACGAGACCACGCCACCAATTCAGCGCCGTCTATGACACTGGAGATGAACTGTTCCTCGGAACTTGCGGCAGTAGAGGAGTCGGCGGCGTCGGCGTTCTCGTCAACACCAGTTTGTCCATGAACACCGATTCATTCGAACAACTTACAACCCGAATCGAACGTTTACGATTAAAAAGGTGTGGATCAATACTAGCTTTGACAATCGTTGTTCACGCGCCGACGTTAAGCGATGACGAAGAAGAAGTCGAGGCGTTCAATATGGACTTGGAGAAGTTCTACAGAGAAGACCACATATTCTTCAAGGTCGTCATTGGAGATTTCAATGCAAAGATTGGACCAAGAAGAACGTCACATTGGGACCCACGGATTACAGTGGAGCGAACAGGGTGAGCGGTTATCTGAGTTTATCATGGCGACCAAGACAATCCATGGTAATTCGCAATTCCAGAATCCTCACCCCCAGCGCTGGACGTGGGAGTCTCCCAATGGACAGTTCCATAACGAAATAGACCACATCATAGTAAATCGAAGGTTTGCCCAACCAATGTCGCAGTTGTACGAAAATTCTACACGGTGTCAGACTACCGCCTCCTTCGCGCAAGATTCCATTTCCCGCAGAAATGAGATAAGCCGCTGAATTCAAAAAACAAAGTGCCAAAGCTTCTATGAATTGGGACTTATTTAGCTCTTTAGTCGGCTGTTGATTAGATGCCGTTGTCGATAACATCGACGAGGAATACGATCGGCTCATTCAACATCTCCACGTTTGCGCCATGAAAGCTGAAAGTTCACCAAGAGACGTCTGTCTCCAGAAACTCTCGAGCAGATAAGCCAGCGTGGAATCGCACGAGCTGCAGACAATCGCGAACTAACGTCTAAGATCTGAACAGCTTAAGAACATTCCGCCAGTCCACATAAACACATTAGCTTGGCTCTTCACCTGTTTGAACGCAGGGTCCCTATTCAATAGAAGATTAGCATGACGACACTAATGTTCAAGATCGGTGACCTCCACGATATCGGCAACTATCTGCCAATCAATCTGCTGCCTGCCGTTTACAAAGTCTTCACTCGAGTCATCCTAAACAGGATTGACAGAACACCAGCCGAAGGGCAGCCATGTGGCAAATAGCGCTTCAAAAAGGATTTAGTGCGTTGGACCACATACACGCGATATCGAGACCCACTGAAGTATCGCGGGAGTACAAAAGCTGTGCACTCTCATTTTCATCGATTTGAGCAATGCATTTAACTCAATTGAGATAGAACAGTCATGGAAGCCCTTGAAAGTCAAAGAGTCCCTGCTCGGTACCCAAAGATTTTTCGTAAGCTGTACCAAAATTTCATAACCAAGTTATCACCATTCTGCAACGATATTAACATTGACGTCAAAAGAGGAGTTAGGCAAGGAAATACCATCTCGCCAAAAATATTTACCGCCACCCTCCAGAACGTCATGCGAACATTGGAATGGGATAATATGGGAGTGGGTCGGTAGTTACACCATCTTTGTTTTGCTGATAACATCGCCCTCAAGCGGAACGTATGCTTGACGACTTTGGTAAAGACTGTGGAAAGATTGGTATCCCACTAAATCTCACAAAAACAATGTTCATGAAAAACGGATTGGTTTCGCATGCTCCATTCACGCTCAACGGAACGAATGTCTCCGAATGCTCCAGTTATGTCTATCTAGGTGGGGAAATCAATATGATGAACCACCTAGCTCCAGAGCTGAGCATAAGAAAACGAGCGGCTTGGGGAGCTTTCAAGAGCATCGAGGATGTAGTGAAGAGAACAAAGAACATCCGACTCCGTGCCCACCTTTTCGACTCGACGGTACTTCCTGCCCTAACGTATGCGTCAGAAACCTGGTCGCTGCGTAAGCAGGATGAAAGATCACTCAGTGTTATCGAACGCGCAGTCGAAAGAATGATGCTAGAAGTATCCCGTTCCACACAAGTAAAGGACGGGATCCGAAGTTCCGATCTGTGTCAACGATCCAAAATCAAAGGTGCCGTTCTGTACGCTAAATAGTCGAAGATAAGGTGGGCCAGACACGTAATGCGTATGAATGACAACCAATGGACAAGAGCCGTTAATGACTGAATTCCTCGGGATATCTAACGTACTGCAGGAAGACCACCGACCCAATGGTCAGAGTTCTTCACGAAGAACATAGAAGAAAGATATGACGCTCAACGAGTCCCTAGAGCGAGCAAAACTCACGGGGCTACTTTTGCACGCGACAGCAAAGAATGGAAGATTTACTGGCGACCGCTCGAGTCACTCGATGATCAACGGAACTACAGGTGATACAGTTGATCGACAGACCAGCTGGTCACGAAAGGACTAAAACAATAAATCCTCAGCGAAAGGCGAGCGTTCTTTGTTTAAAAACAACTACAAAGAGAACGCCTCTAAGTTTTCACAATAATAAGTATGACAAGACGTTTTTCCCATGCTTAAAAAGTTAGCCTCTCAGCATTTTTCTCTACACAGAACAGTTTACAAAAAGTACTTCAATCGAATATTTTTCTGTATTAAACTGCTGCTAAAACTTTAACCTATTCTCGCTCCTTTCTAGACGTAGAAGGTATTCACCGAAGTAGAGTTGAGCTATTCATCTAGTTAACTGAGTTATGCGCTAACAACGCAGTTATTAGAAATACCGTGCAGTGACATATGAATGGTCCCTAGCTGGACCTAGCCGGTCAAAATTCTCATCCAGTCGGATTGGCAAACTGCTTCCAAATGTTTCTGGCAAAAGCCCCCTCCGTCTCACGAATACCGTCAACTTCCTTGACTTCCAATGCAGACTTTATAATAGTACGGCTACCTAGGATTCCAGAAAGATTTAACTCGACCATCACTCAATGACATTCATGAAGATGGCAAAGTGATCGAGTAGCAACCGCAGCTTACACGCAAATCTGAAGACTTTCGTGGATGATTAATACGAGACGTCGAAGCGAATTGCGTGCAGCTCCCTTGATGTCAAAGCATAGCCAGTTAGTCCAAGCGCTGTTTCAGATATGTTTCAGAATAGAGCATTTATGTATTTGTACCTTACCAGCGGAGTCTACATTCCTGTTCATAAGGCAAACTCTAGGTATGCAACGCGAACGCCTTAATTCCACCTTTGTGTCTTTTACTTGCCATGTATTGCCGGAATGCAGCTCTCCTTCTATCATAAATGACCTGCTCAAGAAACGAAAACAGCTTGGAATATTTATCTTTTGTGATAATTAAAGACTAAGGGATATTAGCCATTGAACCTATCAAAATTCAGTTCCATGCATGTTCTGAGATTCGATCGCGCTCAGCACCAGCAACTCCCGGGGTTTTTGAAAAAAACTGATTTTATAAACTAGAAAACTTTAGGATCGTAACCTAGATGCCTTCGAGCGCTACTGCCAACAGATCAGAAAAAGTTCATGAAAGCAACAGTTGAGGACTCCTTTCAAACATCCAATGAAATAAACCTTATCGGTGACCAAGCAATTCGTTGATGACCAGCGCTTCCTAGACATGTTTTGTAATTCAATTGATGTTAACCGTATATCTATAACCGAACGACATATACAGAAGATATCCTCGATGGCTTATTTCCTTATATTCAAGCAATTTGTCTAAGTGGCTTATCGCGAACGGAACCGCTTTTAGGAATTCGGATTGTGGTCCGCAGATGACGCCATGTTCGATGCAGACCTCCACCACTATGGACGACGATTGCATGAAAGGGAAACGAATAGGAGTGGTGTTGAGACTCGGATAATCGGCGAACGCGAATCATCTAACTATCTGCGTAAGTACGTATCGTTCAAAAATGAACTCATCCGAAAGGATGTTCTTCTTCGTAAATTCTTAAGTGCAAAGAACTTTTTTCTGGTCTCACCATTCCTATTTTGATCTGCTTTTGACTACCTACCGAATGGATATGATGTGAACTTTTCATTTACTGCGCATTACAATTCTTTTCACGGTAGGGTGTTATGTGAAAAAGGGCGCGTGTGGCGAAGTCGTCGGAGGCGCCCTGCAACACACACGAGGAATCGATCCCGAGCCCATGGCCCACCAAGCCCTTCATCCCTCCGGGGTAGGCAGATTGGTACCAGACTTGTCTGCGAGGATAGCAGCATTGGCTCGATACATCGGTAGGCCACCGCGAGTCATTGTAAAGAGCAGATGTACATTCAATCACCTCCGAACGATGCTTAATGAAGTCGAATACATGGCGCATTCCTCACGGATTGATCAACACCGAGAGCTTTTAGAGCTTTTATGGTGTTATGTGCGGTACGACCACAATGGTGCTGAGATATTTGCAGAACTTCGGACCAAAGGTGTGGGGATCGAACACGCTATTACCCTTTGCCGCGCGAAACGCGTTCACCACCACACCATGCGGGTCCTTCGCTTCGTCTTTCTCTCAGCTAATTTTCTATCGACCAGTGTCATCAGCAATCACTCGTCAACGGGATTGATTTGGGGACTCCAAATCGAATCGAACAGATATACAGGATGCGGTGAGAAAGTAAATTCTGGGAATCACTAAGATGTTAACCAGAAAATAGAGCTATACGGCGTGACGTTGCATAGGTACGTACAAATGCTTAAATGTGTAAATACATACACGCGTGCAATACAGTATGAAGCGATCCATTTCAGACCAGCAAAGACACCAAATGAATCAAATTTACTCATTTTCATTCTATTATGTGTTAAAGTGGCTTAATAAGGATTTGTACTTCTATAACGTAAGTAGATGAACTAATAGCTTTCCACTTCTTTTTATATTTTCCTTCCTTCTAACCTACGACTCCTAAAAAATCTCCGTAGACATCATGACGTTGCGGGTTTTTTTGTGGAGCTAAATCTTACCGTTGGTCAGCATTGCGCTATGTTGTTTACTTTCGTGCTAAACTGTTAAGCAATGTCGTGTTTCGATGACCGATTTACTTGTTATGCGTTTAGGTAATGAGTATGTTTATGTACTATGTTCATATCGTATCCTGACTTTCCTATGAATGCTGGACTATAAGTCATTATACCATTATCTCTCCTTAAACGTTCCATACCATGTGTTGTTTTTTTCTTATCTATAATGATGTTCATCTGGTTCAGTCAGTTGGTCTGAGCGTTTGTTTTCCTTACTTTGTTACTACTTTCGTTTTGTGTATTGGAATTCTTGTAATGTCGTAACGTAACTGTTTTAGTATGGTGACCGTCGACAGTAACATCGACAACTTTAAGGTGAGGAGAACTAAGAACTTCTTCGGAAACATCCTTACTTTCTTGAGACTTCCGTCTATCTGATGGCAAGTGATTCCAGGAATTCTGTGGTGTCACTGAAGATCACCTTGCACTGCGTTTTCTTCATCACTGTAATGGAGATTTGCAAGCTGCCGTGCAACTATATTTTCAGGTCGTTGTTACAATACGGCTCTAAACACTAGACAGTAAAGACAAAGAAGTGTCAAAGAGATTTCTCATAGCACCTATAGGTCAATAACGCGGCTGAGAGAAAGCTGAAACGAAGGACCCACTTGGTGCGGTGGTGAACGCGTTAAGCCCCGGAAAGAGTAATGTCGTGTTCGATCCCCACTACAGACACATGCCGTACAGAGTTTTGCAAAAATCTCAGCATTATTGTGGTTGTATCACACATAATACCCAGCCCTGAAAAATTGTAGGCGGTAAATAAGAAGTTAACAGTGTAACAAATGTTGTTTTATGTTTTGTTTAATAATAAACATATTTCAGACTGATGGAATCCTCACTGATGAAACTGAGGAAGATTGGAGTTCTGAAATATCAGGTAACGCTGAATCGAATGGTGAGCCACGAATCAAAGAGAATGCAAAAGATCATGAAAACGTGACGCAAAATACCGAGAGCAGTTCACGGTTCGTTCTTGTTTCTCATAAGGAATTTGAAGAAATTCAGCTTGTTACGTCGTGTTTTTGCGGTCGTTCGAGTGCTCAATAAACTTATTCTCGGCATAGGAATCGATACTGTCAGTAAAGAGTCTGAGTCACATGGCAGGAAGCTAATCTCCGATTCGTGAAAACGGCCATTACTTGTAATGATACTTACTTGGATACTTAGGTGACCAGTCTTCACATGTTGTGCATGCCCTAACATAATTTCCATTGTTTTGGAGATTTTATGGTTAAGTTATTGTGGTTCCTTGGAATCCCGAGGGCAGCCTGGCCAAAGTCTGCCCCAGGTCTTCACCACAACAGGCGGTCGTGGCACTTGTGGATCAGAGGGAGATTTGCCACTATGCTACTTTGATACCAGAGCGGTGGTGGATCCTGGTATTGGTTTTCTCTTTTCTGGACTTCCTGATGGGAACAACGGACTCCTTCTCAGCTTGGGAGACCCTGCCTGGTTGATGAATCGCTCCACTATACGTTGTAGCCCAACACCCAGGAACACCCCCAGCCATGAGGCGGTAAGCCGTTGAGAGGTTACCCGTAATGAAAGCCTATAAATGCTGTAGTAGGATTATCTCGTTATTTTAAGGAAATTACGTCTGATCAGAACATTACTAAGGAGGGAAGTAACGAAGTCTCAAATCGAAGCCGATTACCTACACGAATCGGACCTTCTTGAATGATGGCTGCTCGAAAACGAAACGAACTAGCACTCGCATGAAATGCGGAGACGGGTTATCTAAATTTGAACAGAAAAGAAAATTGCAATCCAAACAAAATGTTAATATAAGTTATTTTATGTGAAATAGTGGTAAACATTAAATGATTTATGTTTTTATTCTTTTTCGTCCTTACTTCAGGCGTACGTCTGTTGTCCAGTCCTGGCGTCAATTCATTTTCGCCATCATTGCATTGCCGTTTAATTTTGTCGTGTCTACAGTTTGCGACTTCCTCCAATTTTTCTGTGAGTAGACCTTCTAGTCAAATACTTTTTCTTTTGGAAACACATCTCCTTTAGATGAGTTAGTTGTTGGGGAGCGGGTTGCTTCGATAGCTGACATTCGTCGAGATGTTGCCAACTTCAGAAGTGCTGTTAACGAGAAGTTTAGGACCAGTGTGGAGTTCTTCGACGGAACATTTGATGAGGCATACTGTTTTATTTTTACTACATTCCTATAATTTTTGTGAAGAAGTTAAACTTACGTGAATTCAGTATATCAGTTCTAACTATACATATTTCCAGAACACATAAACATTTGTACCTAGATCTTCTTTCTTTTCAATACTTCATGTTTAGGCGTTTATGGGAGCGGGTCTTGCGGAGAAGGTATTTGTGGTATACATGTTTACCCCTGGTGCACGGGTGCGTAATTTATTGCGATGTTTATCTTCAGTTTACGATGAACGTTCTTTCATTTCTTAGCACACTGAGGATGCGGTGCAACGAATTTTGGCAGACAATAACTTTAATAAAACTCTGAACGATTTCAATATGATATTATGGGGTGCCGATCCACGTTCTAAGGCAGGAAAAGATGGTACTGGTTAGTTTTCTTTCTTTGCCTTTTACGTTCTTGTAAGGTTTCTACCTTTCAGCTGCGCGCAAGATGAATATTTCAACATTTCCATGTTTCGTCGCACTGTCATCTCGTGATGAAAGCATGGTTAGTATTATTCTAATCGAAATGACGGTGATAAACTACACAGGTCTGCTGGAACGTCTAGTAAGCAGATTTACACTTATTTAGCTAATGTGCATAGAAATGCCGACGGATCCTGAACAGATTTGGCCACTTTTACGTCAGTGTGCTCTAGAAGAAATCGAGTTTCGTGAAGAGGAACACTTGAAAAGGTACCATATCTATTAGAAATGCTTATTCTCTTCATTTCCCAACGGTTTACCACCTCGTCATGGCTGGGAGGTGCTCCTGGGTGTCGGACTGCGATGTACAGCGAGGGATTCATCCCCTGCCAGGGTCTCCTAAGCTGAGAAGGAGTCCGGTGTTTCCATGAGGAAGCCCAGCTAAGGTAAACCAATACCTGGATTTGCCACCGTCCTGGTATCAAACTAGTCGCATGGTGGCAAATCTTCCTCTGATCCACAGTGGCAACGACTGTCTGTGGTGGCGACGACCTTGGACAGACTGACCTGAATGATCTCGGGATTCTGGGGAACTACAGTGGCTAAATTAGCAGAACTACGAAAAGGTTGAGATTATGATGGGCCTCGCACAACCAGTGACGACAGGGAATCCAAGTGTCCGAATAAGTAAGTATTCTTTTCAAAGACATACTCAGTTGTTAGTGGTTTTGTCCTCTTACCATGACTGCTCATTAAGGCGAATGCTTCATGAAAATCGTATGCTTATGGAACAGCAGGAAAGGGAGTATCGTGAAAGTGAGGAGCGTGATAGAGCTATGATAGCTGAACGTCGTAGACAGCAAAAATTACAAGAGGAGGAAACCATTAGACGAAATAAAGAGGAGCAAGAGCGCATGGAAAAAAGCTCTAAGCGTTTAAAGGTTAACGCCGTTTTATATTGTAAACTTCTATTTAGCTTTACAAAACACCTCAAGTCCTCCCAACGGTTTACCGCCTCATCGTGGTTGGGAGGTGTTCCTGGTTGTCGGACTGCGATCTACAGATGGGGGTTCATCTCCTGCCAGGGTCTCGCAAGCTGAGAAGGAGTCCGACGTTTCTATCAGGAAGCCTAGCTAAGAGTAAACCAATGCCGGGATCTACCACCGTCCTGGTATCAAAATCGCATGGTGATAAATATCCCTCTGATCCACAACGGCCGCTACTGCCTGTGGTGGTGAAGACCTGGGGCAGACTTTGGCCAGGCTGACCTCAGGATTCCAGGGAACCATAATGGCTAAACCAGCAAATCTCCAAAAAATGGAGATTATGCTGGGACTCACACAGCCATTGTGGACGGGCCATTCAAGTATCAAGTAAATACCTCAAGTATTTCACATCCTATTGACTGCACAATGTGTATAATGATGCTGAGATATTTGCCAAACTACGGACCGCAAGTGTCTGCGGTGGGAAACGAGCTTGCTATTATCCTTTACAGAAGTTAATGCGTTCTCCCTTCGCACCATGCGTGTACACATTATGTCAATGTTAGACAAATTAACGTTGTTTTATTTCTCTCCAGTGTTCATGTTCTTCATTTTTTCCGTAATTATTGGACAGAAGGACGTTGCGATGCTTTGTGAGTGACACTTCAATTGTAAATGGAAAAAAAAATGAAAGAAGTAGAAATTGTTGGTGCTCTTTGTTGTATAACGTTCCCTTACGTTTAGGTTGTGAAGCACTTACGAGGTGAATTAATCGCTAACCACGCCGCTGATGACTACTACGGAAAGGATTCTATCCGAGTGCTTGTTCGCTATCCTTCCGGGGAGACAAGTCAGCATAGATTTTCTCCAGATGAGAACACACAAGTTAGTTTGAAGTTTTGATACTATCTTTTGGAGTTGTATTATGATGCTGGAAATTGTGTTTAGTAAAGAATAACCAGAATTATACTTGTTTTCTTGACAGCTTCTGGCAAAAATTGATATTCGTAACTACCTGGTAATTTTTCAGAGTTTGTTCGGAGTTATTTTCGCGAAACCGTGCTGCCCAGATTACTTTGAAGCACATTATGGGTTTCCTCGCAGAAGACTTGATTTCTACCCTGAAGAGTTGGTTATTTTTGACATCATTGGAATGTTTCCGTTGTAAAGTCCACTACGTGGGTACTAGAACATATCGTAAACACAGGTAGAACGAGATCAGCTCATCTTTCATTCGTTTTTCTTGCTTCATCGATTGTCATCCATGGTGGTGATGTTTTGAGCGTGGTGACGTGTGTGAGTTTCAATCCATAATCCAAGAATGGTTTACCTGTGGTGAATGCAGTTGGTTGGTGAGCGCTGTAAACACTTTTTGCCAATATGTTCTGTGGTCGTTGGACACTTGCATCCTTTTGGAGACTCCACTTTTTTCTGGTCCATTTTTGTCACTTTTTTTCGGGGTAGAACGAAGTTTTTGACATGGTTGAAGTGTCGACTCACGTCTATGCTGCTTAGTATGGCGTCGCGAAATCGCAGAGTTATAAAGGTGAGCGCCCAGAGTTTTCGTTACATGAGTTTATCGTTTGGTTCGGTGATTGGCCCATAATGCAGCTTATAATTCTTTCTTTCTGAATAGTCTTCCATTATTTCGTTTTCCATGCTCATTGAACATCATAGCACATATACCATGTAGTTTCCATAATCGAATGAAAATCGAGTTCGATTTTGATGTCTTTGGCTGTTCATGAACTGAGTTTTCTTGTTATTTATACACACTCCAATCCTTCTTCCTATTCATTAAGCTCTCTATGCATAATGTTTGCCTCAGTGGCGTTCATCGAGATGAAGTCGCCAGCAAAATGGCAGTTTAATAGGAGTTTTATATCAGTGTGTAACTCTATTTTTTTCATTATCCGCTCCAAGGCAGGGTGAACAACTTTGATAAGATGGTTGAGGTGGTGCCCACTTGATTACTCCCCGTTTCCTATGGGGGTGATAGAAGGTTAATGGGAAACGTCGATAAAAGTTGGAATTCTTTCGTAGATAGTTCGATAATTTGTTCACCGAATGCTGATAGGTTGAATTGATCTCGAATCTTTTCAAATCTATACAGAGTAATATTGTAAATTTTTTTTTGAAACCGACCATCATTTAATCTCGGTAGTAAAAATCAACACGTTTCTGGATTGTCAAGCTAACACGATGTTGATAAAGATGTTTATTCGGGTAACTTTTCGGCGTCTTCCTCTTCATTGGATCTGTTGGTCTGAGTCGATGGTTCACAGAGGTTCGTCTTCTCGATATACCATCTTCATCGTCGTGTCGAGTCAGATCTTCTTCAGTGTAACATTGCACGAATGAGGAGTGGTCACCCAGCAGCGCTTTATACAGAACAGATAAAAACCGTTGTTGGGTGATGTTGCCTCATTTGAGCAGTACACCAATGAAGAAAATCTGACTCAATACGGCGATGACACCACATTGAGAAGACGAACGGCTGTAGATCATCGGCTCTGGGGAAGAGAAGACGTCGAAACGTTAGCCGAATAGAAACATTGTAAACGTTCTACAGATATCACGATCTTCTCATGGATCTTCGACAGTCCCTTGGTCTGGAGAAACTATCGTATGTGAAGCCGAGAACGTTTAAGGAGTTTGGCATAAACTCTTCACTGACGTTATATATCAGCGATATGGATTCTTAAGGTATGTTTAAAGAGGCATGTCAGTGGTTATGTATCAACCTAATGTGTCGTTAACACTTTCTGAACAAGTATAAAGGGCTCATTTTAGTTTTATTTTCGAGTTGTAGTCAATCGTAATATATTGCACACTTAGACAGTTCAGAATTTTCGCATAACTAAAAATTTCGTTTAGTATTCCGAAAAAACGGTGTGAAAACTACGTTGGCCTTTTTTCTTTCTAAACTGGGAATCTTCCACCTTTACTGTAATCGATTCATCTTTGAACATGAACGCGATTCCTCATAACTATGGAAATCTTCCGCTTATCCAAAACATCGGCGGGAAGATTGTTTTTGGTCATATTTTCAGTGTAAACTTGAGAACTTGGACTTTCGTTGAAATAGTGATGACATTCTTCAATGAGAACATGGTAAAGCCACATTTACCTCGGTTATCTTCGTTATCGTACCAGCTAAGACGTATTATTACATATTGAATTTGTCAGCTGGAAACTACTTGTTGCTTTCGATGATTCATCTTCATTATGAAAATCTCCTAACTTGTTTAAGAGATGGACATTTTCTCAATCATCATGTTTGAAAATTTTTATCTTCATATACAAGTCAAGGGCGCGTGTTGCGCGGTGGTCAGAGGCGCCTTGCAATACACATGGAATGGATCCCCGCAACCTAGACCCACCAAGCCCTTCATCCTTCGGGAGTAAGCAAATTGATGCCAAACTTGTTTGGGAGGATAGCAGCACTGACTGAGCACATCACTAGACCACCACGAGCCATTGTATAGGTCAGCTATGCATTCAATCACTTCCAACGATTCTTAATGAAGTAGAAAGCATGGCGCATACCTCAGGGATTGATCAGTGCCGAGAGCTTTATTCTTTTATCCTTTATGCGAGTCATGGTACAGTTGGTTCCTTCTTTTTCTCCTTACTTTCAGTTGATTGTTATCGCCGCCCTTCAGTCATCTACACTGTCGATTCAAACGAATGATATGTCATGTGAATAAGGAAAAAAAAGTGATGGTTAATCTGGCTTTAGAATCCACTATTTTTTTCAGCACGACCGAAACCAGTGCTCACTAAGCATTTCTATGCTATACACATCGTCGCTAAGGAAAGTTGGCAGATTTTTTTAATGTTTATATACGAATGAGTGTGGTCGTATCAGATTTTGGGGATGGATTGAAGTTCTTCTAGTGTGTTTACGAAGAATGTTACTATTCTTCTTTGATGGTATCTTATTGGTCAAGTTCAGTTGTTGTCTTTGGATTTTCGAATTGGTTATGTCTGTATTTTGCTTTTTTTGATTTTGTAACTGGAAACGATTTCGTGGTGTTATTTGGTGTGGTGTCTTATCGCTTGTAATCAGTTGTTATCGAAAAAGTTCAACTGCTACACTGTGAATTTTTCTCTTTTCTTTCTTCCTTTTCTTTTGACACGCGTGAACGACTTCGTGAGCTATTATGCTCCATCAGTGGTTTTCTTGTCGCTCGATTTGCGTTGTTCCCAACGGTATCCTAGTGTTCCTGTTCTAATGTATCGTTCGCTCTTTATACGAGTCTTACCTGTCCATGTTTAGAATTTGAATTGTTCTAGTCCGAGTGCTATCAAGTGCATGCTTGACCTTCACTTGTTTAGATATTTCGTGCTTCTTTGTGTTTCTGTGTTTTTGTACAGATTTATGTTATCGTAACATTGTGTCGCATGTCATTCTGTGTCTTATAACTGATCCCATGATTATTGACTAGCGATAGCATATTGAATGCATCGTTTACTCCAGGTAAACACAGCAGTCTCTTTGCTTGTGCCTTCCCAGGTGTATTTTATTTGCTGTTTGAGCACATTTTTGCAATAAAACTGTGCCACTGACTGTGTTTTTGGGATTTTCTTTTCTTTTCGACGCACATCGTTGTGATGCTTGTTGGTTCTGCAAACGCTATTTTGCAGTACAATGTTCTCTGATCTGTGACACGTAACAGAAGCGTGGATGGTGTCGTAATCGTTAGTTAGTACTTCTGGTTAGGTTTGATAATATACGATCTTTTTTCTGCTATTTTAAACATAGCAACACTACTGGGACGCTTCCTTCCAGGACATGATAACAGTAAAACGCAGGCACTCCTACATTTAGGAACAAACCTGGATTTGAATCTTGACATGATATGGAGATGTAGGTACGTTCTTTTGAGCACTAGAATTCTCCAGTTACAGAGGTTTCTCTGTATAAAGGTCGTAAATTGTGCATTGTTGAGAATACGTTCAGTCAAGGACAGTGTCCCGTCAAATTCAGGGTCCATTGTTGGTCCGGATCGCATAGGGAGCTTCGCCCTTGCGAAGAAGTAGGATTTTATCTGTACATCCTAGATTTCTGAAATACTACTGGCTTCGTAAAGGGATGTCAAAATCTGGCAAACGCTGCAGTGACACCACTAATCACTTCGAGCCATATTGACATATCCTTTGTCAACAACCTTATGAACGAAGCATAAATATGGTGATTTCAATTAGAATGCTGAATTCTATGAGTAGCATGTTTTTCATTTTGTACTTCCTTAAAATCATACGCTGAACGCCCAAATCATGGATTCCCTATCGTTGCAGTCATTACTATAAACCCTGTCAATAACAGGGTTTCAAGTACGCACTTCAACAGAGATTACATCATAAATATTCCATTGAAGTACTTTTTTGCACACTGTTCTGTGTAGAGGAAATGTTGAAAAGCTGACTTTTAAAGCAACACTGCCCTTTCACTGAAGCTTTTTTGTGTTTGATCTTTTTGTGATGAGCTGGTTTTTCGATAAATGATAATAATTCCTCGATCCTTAGAGTATCGCAAATGTTCAGCACTTTGTAAATTCATCTAATCTAGGAGATCGTAATGTTAACTTTTTATTTACTGCCCACTATAATTTTTTACGGCAACGTGTTATGTGTGAAACAATCACAATGGTGCTGAGATATTTGCAAAACTCCGGACCACAGGTGTCTGGTGTGGGGAGCGAACGCGCTATTACACTTTCCAGGGATAACGCGTTAACCAACACGCCATGTGAGTCCTTTGTTTCGCCTGTCCTTCAGCTAGCTCTGTCGATCATTGCCATCAGCAATCATCCGTCAACAGGATTGAATTGAACTGGATATCCTAATTGCTGATGGCGCTAATCGATAGAAAAAAATAAAGAGACAGGCGAAACGAAGGACCCGCATCGTTTGGCGGTAAACTCGTTGGTCCCTGGAAAGGGTAATAGCACGTTCATTTTGCACCGCAGACACGTGCGGTCCGGAGTTTTACAAGTTTCTCAGCTTCATTCTGGTAGCTTCGATAGTACTTTTCAGGCAGTTATCACATTCTTAACATTTGCCTGTTTCAAAAACAGACTTCACTCTTTGTGCTATTTCTCTATACTTATTCCCAGTCACCTTTGTACAACCGTACTGAGCTGTTTTTTAAGGTTAGATTTG